TCCCTCTCCTGGCCTTTCCTTCCTGCTCCCCCAGCCTTTGCTGCACCTGCACGGTGATGCTAGCCTCTGTTACGTGTGGCCTGTGATGCTGTCCCCTCCGCCAGGAGCCTCCATGTCCAGGTGTCTCCCGCTCCCCACCCTGCCCTGGCTCGCCAGTTCCTTCTCCTCACCTGGTGTCCCTGCACCTCGCTTCTTAGCGTCTCCTAGCAGCCACTGCTGCCGCACTTTGTATTTACGGTCTACTTGTTGGTGGCCTTTCTTCCTCACTGGAATTCAGTCTCCTCCAAAGCAGGGACTTCCATGTGTCCTGCTGTGGAGAAGCCCTCGACCTGGACAGGGATTTGTGGGAGGCAGCACAGGTGTCCAGGGATGAGTCTCTCATGGCGTGGCAGCTGCCACACATCTTTGACTTTCAGACGCAAGACGGTGACACTCGAGCAGACCACGCAGTTTGGCTAAACTCTCCCTGCCAATCTGGGACGTGAGCCAGGGTCAGGCTGACTCCAAAATTACTCCTCCACATCTTACGACTTCTTTGGCAGATTCCCTCCAGCCCAATTATCCACCCATGGAAGCAAGACTCAGTGCCACAATTCAAAGGTGTCCTAAATGTGAGTCAACATCTATATTCCAATCTCTTGTGTCCATAGCAACTACTGGGCTATACAAATATGCCTCTGCCCTTTGGCTCCTGAGTACACTTTCAGATTAGCCACTGCTATTTCTTCCCAAACTTACAGAGTCTTTCCACTTGGCAATGCACTGAGGTCTCTTGATTGAAAAGTAAATGAGTGCTTGGGTTCTCTGACAGGTGAATCATTGATGGATGGGAATCATCTTTCTTTCCTCTCTCAGAGGCCAGTAAGTTTTACCTTCAGAAGACCAGAATCTCGGTTGTCCCTGAGACTGCCCCTTAGGAGGGGCTGGATTCCCCAGGGTGGCAGGGCTAGGAAGTCCTGGTCTCCCCAGTTTGTGGGATCTGTTGAAATCCAAAGCCCACCCCCCACTCAACATGGGGGCCTCACAAACAGATGGGCCTGCCCACATGCCCCAAAAGCTGGGCAGGTACCTCAACATCCGCACCATGCAGGCCACTGAGAAGTAAAACCGTGTGCTGGGTCTAGACCAACTCCACGTTGGGCAATGCGCGAAGGCCATTTGTTGCCAGTCAGGTGGATGGAGGGCTCGGGTTGGGTTTGCATCCTCCTATCCCAGTTTTCTGGACCATAAGAGCCCCTTGTTGCTCTACAGCTAAGGGAAGAAGAAGTGCCCCACCCAAGGCCCATGAGAAGGATGCTGTTTCCTCCCAACCATAACTGGGTTAACTGACCTTAGGTATATTTATTCATATCTATAATTTCATGTACAATAAATGAATTTGAGCATCAGTAGTTTATTCATAATCTTTCTAAGTACTTAACTCCTGGAAAGGAGGATGTACAGGTTCCACCCAGCAATACCAGTGGCTTTCTCATGGCCCTGCATTATGGCGGAGCACTGTTTTCCCCACGGACGGTGATGCCCGAGTCCCCAGGGGCCCAGCCACTTCCCAGGGCTCAGAGTCCTCACTTACATGGAGTAGGGGACGAGGACTTCCTGCCGGAATCTGCACACAGAAAGATTGGGGGTGTGCGGCCTGATCTGAGCCCTTGCTTAAGAGCAGAGGGAAAGAGAAGGTCAGGGAGGTCAGGTGGATGGAGGGCTCGGGTTGGGTTTGCATCCTCCTATCCCAGAGACGCCCTGCCTGCCCAGGGAGTGGCTGCACGTCAGCCTGTGCACCTTCCTGTTTTTCAGTACCAGGATGCGGGAGACGTGTTGGATCCCGTGATGCCTGTCGCAGGCAGAACGCTGAGCCTCAGCCTCTCAGTGCACTGCAAGCACCTCTGACCTCACGCAGAGTAAGCTGACGGCCTCTCCTAGGCCTTCTGCTAGTACAGATGAGGGGCTTCACTGCTGTGTGGACTGAGCCTTGTGTCTACACTGATCTCTGCTGCCATTTCTCTCCATTTCCTCAGTGCGTGGAAAAAGCGATGTGCTGTTTGCAAATTTAACCCTTTAACTCAGTCAGGTTGGGTTTTTAAGAGGTGCCAGACAGGGTATTTGAAGTTAGTTAGTATCCTTTTAAAATGCTGGTCAAGAAGGAAAGTGTGAGTGATAGAAATAGTATGTGATATAGCTGGTGTTGCCCCTTCTCTTTGGGGTGTATGTTCCCAGACCCCAGTGCAGGCCTGAACGCATGCACGGTACTGAGCCCTGAATATAGAGTTTTCCCCATGTGTACATATCTATGGTAATGTTTTATATAGTGCAATAAATGCAATTTAAATGTATGAACTGTTTATTTCTGGCATTTCCTGTTTAATATTTTCAGACCACCATTGACTGAAACCTCAGGTAATAATACTGGGGGTTGAGGGGACTACTGTATGTGGAGAAACATTAATAAGAAACATTCAAAGGAAGTGAAGGCGTTTGCTAAACACAGCAGGGCTGAAGGAGGAAAGTCGACGTGGCCGACTCGGCTCACAGCCCTTGAGCTTAGATGAAGCAACCAGGTGCCTGCGTCAGTGGCCTGAGCTGCTTGTGACGGTCAGTGCTGAACTTTGAGCTGCCGTCGACTTTGATGGAGAACAGCTCTCCAGACTGGCTTGCTTGCTAACCCACACTAACTTCTCGAGGGAGAGGGAACCTTTCGTTCGCACCTCGTCGGAATCAGCCACGTGGAACCTGGTTGAGACAGCCAGCCTCCCCAACGCGTGGTTTCCATGACTACCAGTGGGGGCGGGGGCTGTTTTGCGGTTGTGGATCAGTGAATGGGCACTGAGATGAGACAGCAGGGCTCTGGGTGCCAGTCTCTGGCTTGTTTCCGATGGCTGCACAGCAGCGGGGAGAATTTGTTCAGAGTCGCAAAGGCGAGAGCCAAGATGGCGACTGGGGATGTGGACCTTGTTCTGAAACCACACGCGACCCCGGCGAGGCGCCCTGGGTCCTGTGACTGGGCCTTGACTGCAAGGCTGCCGCCAATAAGGTCCCGTAAACCCCTCCCCTCCCTTGTCATGTATCTGCCACGTCGCTGTGCGTGTGAAGGCAGATGGGGGGTGCCCTTGGGCTATCTGACAAGCCACGCAGGAAACAGGCATATCCAGAAGGTCTGCGCTGGTCAAAACGCCTGACACATTGCTCCTGTCTGGGTGTCTCCAATTTGCCCTGAGGACCAGAGTCCACCTGTCTGCATGGTGCTCTGTGCCCAGGGGTGAGCAGCACGGATCCAGCAAGGAACTCTGCCCTTCTGCCAGTAAGAGGCACGGAGAGAGCCTGCCTGGCGGAGGAAGAATGTGGTTGGAGTCTTCGCTCTCCAGCACCTCCTCTCCTCCAAAGCCACGGCTCTCTGCATACAGCTACTCTCACCCTTCGCTTCTCCGCCAGGCACAAGCTGGCAATGCCAGGCTATTTCCTGGTACAATGTCCTTCACTGGTGTTTTTAAACTCTACCTACTCTTTGGCAAACAGTCCCTTTATAGAATCCTCTCATCTCGTTTAGGTTCTGTGGGTCGCTTTTCTTTCCTACCAGGGTCCAGGCTGACCCATCCCCCAGTACGCAACCTACAGAGCCTTCTCGTCTGTCTCCCTCTGAAATACTCAAAGGTATTTGGCTGTGTTCGCTGAATCTTGGCCAAAGGCCTAGCGGTGCATTGCCGGCTGCAGCTCTCAGCAGGACCCTCTACTGCTCAGCCACAAGCTTCCCTTCCTCTTCTGCTGGGATGTCACACCTGGGAGCACCTCCAAGCCCTAAGGGCTCCTCTGGCAGTGGAGGCTCCACGTCCCGCACACAGGAAGAGCTGCCCGAAGACTGAGTCCAGACCAGAAAGCCCTGCTTTCCAGCCCATGCAGAAGCAGCTGACCCGGGCTGGGGACACACCCCAGGTCCACCGTCAGGGCCTGAGAGCAGATAGGGTCCCTGCTGGGCAGTATGTCGCTTGGGAAGGACACAGTCTTTCATGAAAAGCCCTTGAACATTTGATTTTGGAATATTTATAATACAAGTGATCAGGAGTGAAATATATATTGCTTTGTGTCTGGAATAATCTAAATCTGTCAGAGACACTTGCTTTGAACTGAGTTTTTCCCACAGGGACTCCAGGGAAGAGATGCCTGCTGTGCTGCCCGGTACTTTGTGCCTGGATTGTTGGGGTGGACAGGAAACATTAAGGAGGAGACTAAGGCTGGCCTCCTGCTCCTCCTCCTCCTCCTCTTCTTCTTTTTCTTTTCTTTCTTTTTCTATTTTTGAGACAGGGTCTCACTATGTAGTGTAGGTTGGCCTTGAACTCACTTTGTAGCCCAGGCTGGCCTCAAACTCTTGGTGATTCTCCTGCCTCAGCCTCCCGAGTGCTGGGATTACAGGTGTGCACCACCACTCCCAGTAAGGCCAGCTTCTCAGCTGCCTCAACCTGGATGCCAGAAAGGCTGGGAGGGGAGGGCGCTGGTGGCTCTGCAAGGCACGTGTCATTGAGTGCTATATTTCCCCTGGTCAGCAGTGTTCTCATCACTGCTCATGGGAAGCTGAGGCTCGGGGAGGTTATGGGACTTGCCCATGTCCATAGGAAGGGCACCAGTCTCCTATTTTTCTCTCCTATGATCTTTCCTATCTTTTGTTCAACACCCATGCAGGAGCTGGATGGGGAGAAGAGGAAACAAGGCAAAGAAGCCCAGTGTTCCCTTGGAAGAGGGGCCCTGGGATTCAGGAGCAAGGGAGACAGCTCGGGGCATTTCAGCGCCACCCGCTCTAAGGGGAGCCGGAGCCTGGCCTTAGTCTCCTTGTTCCTGCAGGCCTTCGTGGGAGCACAGTGAGTCTGCAGAACAGGTTCAGTACACTCAGAATCCTGCCGGGAAACCTCCCAGAGCCCGAGAACACCGTTCTCTCCCCCGCTCATGAAGGAGTCAGGCCAGCTTGCTCACTCACTGGGCCACAGGCACGTGACGGGCTGGCGGAAGCAACTCACCCGCCTGCTCCAAAGCGACCATGGTTGCCTGCTCAATCAAGTCCCGCTCGATGAAGCTCCTGAAGTCCTCGCTGTACACACTCAGATCCGGCAACTGGAACGTGTAGATCGGCATCTCCAGGGGGAACTGCTCATTGCTGCACTCACTGGCCACGTGGGAGCGGGCCAGGGAGACAATGGCTGAGCTGGCGTGTGAAATCCCCCGGGAAAGTCGCTTTTCTGTAGGGAAGAAGGAGACACGGGCACCAGGACTGAGTCACAATAAGTCTGTGCACACACACCAACACGCAGGAGCGCACATGTACACCTATACGTACACATGAGCATGTGCACACACACAAGGATGCACAGGTACACACAAGCATACACAGGTGCATACACCAACACATACACGTGGGCACACACACATGCAGTACACATGTGCATGCACATACACACCCATACAGACACAGGCACATGTGCACACTGCACACAAAAGTACACATAGGTAAGTATATATGTGGCATGTTAGCTTAAAGTCCGAAGGTAATTCTCAGAAGTCTTGTATGTTTTTCCATTTGAATAAATAGAAAGCCATGGGTACAGAACAGATTTCAGAATGGATCAAGTTGTTTTGTATTCTGAGGAAGACAACAGGAGAAGTCAGATCGCACAGATCATTAGAAAGAGGAGCAGTGGGACACACAGGGCTCGCTCACATGTTTTTTGGAGGTGATCCCATCAGTTCCTGGGCTTGGCCCAGATCCTCCAAAGTGGGCCCAGGGAGACCCCAAGTTGTCCTGCCTCTTACATGCCATGCTAAGGTCACACATCCGACCACAAACTCTCCACCCTGAGTCTGGGGAAAGAGGGGCTGCTGATGGGCTTCCATATTAGAGAACCGAGGGGCCACGTGTACCCACAATCTGTTGTCCAGACACCCAGAATCCTGCTCTGCGCCCCGTGGGGATCTTCTAGCCAGGGAGCCATGCTCCTGTGCTTAGAGGCATTGTGACTTGTAGTAAAAGGTGACGCTACTAAGCAGATCCAGACAGGAAATATTTGAACTGAGTCTGAAGAGAGAAGTGTTTTTGAACTAAAAATAGATTGAGTTGAAGATTATACAATGAGAAATACATACTCCTAACACCTCACCACACTACCACCTTCCCCAGCACCATCTCCAGGGCTGGGTATAGAGAATCTCTCTGTCTCTCTCTGTCTCTATCGTTTCTCTTTCTCTTGCACATACACAAACACAGATTTCTAAGGTCCTTGGGATCAAATCCCGGGCTTTGCTCAAGACAGGACAGCACTCTACTGCTTACCTAGACCCAGCCTTGAGTCTTTACACGTGAACTCAGTGACCCTCCTACTGGAGCTGTAAATGGAACATTTTATGGGGTTTGCCACATTTAATAGTATGTCCCAGGGAAACAGAGAAATGAGAGATGGGAACGCACAGAACTCTGCTCCAGCTGATGACGGAGGTCAGGACAGGTCCCACTTCCTTTGTGGCCTCAGGTGTGTGCGGACTGTGCTTTCCTGCTCTCTGTCTTTCTGATGCGCAGGCCTCTGGGGCTGTGCTGACTGGGGACAAGCTGCCGTGCCAGGCCCAGCCACATCCTAGGGACAGCAGTGCCTTTCAGGGCAAACCAACTCACTCATTGTCCACACCGGCCCTTCTCCTCTACTGGCTCTGAAGACCCAAAGCATTCCCTGCCCTGATCATCCCAGGGTCAGGTCCTGGACAACTAGAGATGGGGCCTACAGCCCCCAGAACCACTGACATGATTAACAACGGCTGCTTCTAGGCCAACTCACCCTGCCTCACCTGCCTCTTCCATGGAAACCACAATAACGGCCCTTATTACCCATGGCTTGCTCTGCGCCTTCCCTTGTGGCCTCATGTGTGTTCTGTGCCTCCTGCTCCAAGGGAACTGTACATGGAAACTTTTTCCTTTACAGTAAGTTACTTCTGTCTCTTTGCCTTACTATGCCTGATTAAAATAAATCCTGGGTACATTTTAAACAGGTAGACAAACCTTTATTAAAAAGGCAGATATACACAGTTTAGGTGTTGCATAGGCCATACAGTCTCTGTCTCACTACTCAACCCTAGCACTAATGCAGTCACACACAATACATCCATGAATGGGCTCGAGGTGTTCTAATAAAACTTTATTAAAAAGCAGGCGGTGGCCAGGTACGGCTCATTGGCCATCATTTACTGCCCCGGATTTAGACTGTGGATGCTTCAGTTTTCATTTGATCACATTGGGACTTCAGGAAGAATTCTGCTAAGACATAAATCTAACTCAGAAACTCTATAATTTCTATTTTATTAAAAACAAGGCTTGAGTCTTAAGATTATACTATGGTAAGGCTATACCGAGATTCAACAGGCACACTCCTGTTTTTCTCCTGAAGTGATGTCTGATACAAGTCCAGTAGAGCAGGGACCAGTAACATGAGGCTTACTGTGCCCACCTGCCTGCAAACTGAGCGAGGGTCCTCCTGGAGCTCTCAGAAGGATGAGATCACTGCTGGCTTCGTGTGCTGTGGGCAAAACCAGCAGGAACTGCCCTGTGAACATCTGTTTGAACCACCACTGTCTGGAAGGGGCGGAGCCTTGGAGCCTTAACTTTGTGGTGCTGAAGACAAACACCAGGGAAGGCCCTGGGGTGGGGACAGAACCAAGTGCCTGGAAGAGGAGGCCTCCAGGTCACCACTCCTGCTGGCAGGAAAGAGGCAGCACTCAGAAACAGTATATCCAGGGTAAGAGAGGGAGCAGGCCTCAGCATCCTCTCCGTAAACCCAGCTGGAGACACCCTGGAGCAGAGGGGCCACAATGGTACGTTCCATGGGTCGGCCGGAAGGGATTTCTGGTTCTGCGTGCCTTCCCTCTCCCCCAGTGGGTCACTGTGCTCCCCCATTATTACCACAGTGTGGGCTAGCAGCTGCGTGGGCGCAAGCCAGCTGGAGGAATGTCACATACTGCCAGGGCATGGCGGGGTTGGGACACCAATACCAATGGGCACAGTCTCCCCACACCTGGGAGCATGGTAGTTACCACGGAAGGAGCAGCCCCCAGAAATAAGCAATCATTGAAGCAGAGGTGCTGGAAGTTTCCCTGAGCAGAAAAACAACTCTGGGGAAGGGAGCAAGTGGGGAAAGTTTTATATCTTAATTAGAACATTCGAGATCCAGCCAGTCCAATGTTGTGTCTATATCTAAAGAAAAGGAAATCAGTATGCCACGACATCCTTAAACCCATGGTCACTGTGGCACTATTCACAATAGTCAAGATACGGAGCCTAAGGGTCCATCAGTGGATGAATGGATGATGAAAAACTAGATAAAGACAAAAATCTGTTATATAGCTACAATAGAATACTCTGCAGCCAAACAGAGGGAAGTTCTGTCGTCTGCAACACCACGGATGAACATGGAGAAGTGAATAAGCCAGGCACAAGAATACAAATACCGTATCATTTTGCTCACACAGAGAAGCAAAATAAATGACTCCCATAGAAGCTGGGAGTAGAACAGTGATTACCAAAGCGTGCAGAAGCGCAGGAAGGGGAGGTGGAGGCTGGAGATTGGGTACAAAGTTACAGTTATGTAGGGGGCATAAATTCTAGCGTTCCATGGCACAGTAGGGTGACCATAGTTAATAATAATTTTTATCTATTTCAAAACAAGCAGAAGAGAGGAATCTGAATGCTTCTAGCATGAAAGTGATAAATATTTGAGATGTGACTGTGCTAATTATCCCTGTTGGATCATTATACTTTGCCTGTAAGTTCTGACAGCTGATAACCTGGGCACCAGCAGCTCACAGGGAAACAGGGACCAGCAGTGGGGCAGGCAGGAATGGTCAAAGAAAGGCAGCAAAGTCCTTTTGCCAGGAAGAAGAGGAAATGGACTAGATTTCAAAGCAAGCCTAGCAAACGTGTTCAAAGAGATAAGCTATTAGATTGTTGAATAATAATAATGCAAAGAATGAACTGAGAAAGAAAATACGTAAATGCCGACTCACAACAGATGCACTGCAGGATGAACGAGTGGGTTAGGGTTACGACATCACAACCAGGGACCCTCTTGGAAATCACAGAAATGAGCTGAAAGCAGGCAGCAGAGGAAGGGTGGCAAAGCATTCCAGGAGAACAATCTGAGCTGAAAATTTCTATTTCACGAAACAAAATTGTAAGTATATCCTTTAAAACCTTCCAGGCACTGAAAGCCTTAGGAGATTCATCATGCAAAAAATTTTTTTGTAAGGAGTCTTTGGGAAAATACTCTTTCAGCAAAAGAGAAATGAATACAGTCACATGTCTCTCTATGACAGGGATATGCTCTGAGCCACGTGTGGCAAGGTGAACTACACAGGATGTTCACACAGATCTAGATGCTTCAGTCTCCTGATACGACCTCCTGCTGCCACCAAGGGACACAGTAAACGTAGACGTGTGATGCTGCTGCCAGCTCAGCACAGCAGACTCTTTTACTGCGAACTTTTACTAAGTAGGAGGAGCACACACTAAAATAACAACAAAAGTGCAGTACGGTAAATGTATAAAGCACCAGCAGTCATCTATTATCCTTACAAGCTATTACATACTTGGCAACACTTGTATTGATATCAATTATGTACTAAAGTGTCATTACTGAATGATAAGTAATGGGCCTTATCTGTACAGGACTGGCTGTGGGGCAGGTTTATTTATATAAACACTGTCACAAACATAGGGGCAATGTGTTGTGCTCTGACATTACAACGGCTACTACATTACTAGACAACAGGATTTTTTCAGCTCTACCATAATCTGACAGACTATCACTACAAATACAGTCTGTTATTGTTGAAATGTCGTTTCGCATTGCATGACTGTAAATATAAGCAAACAAGAGTTAATTTTTATCTAAATCAACACAGGGAGCAAAAAAACCAACCTAAAGATGACTGAGGTAAGAAGGGAGAAAGTAAGAGCAGATTGACACAAACTTATTTTTTAGGGGAAAGTATAGTTGTGAATAAGTTTTATAAAATCATAGAAACAAAAGCTAAATACAGGTTTAATAGAATAGAGGTAACTGTCACATAAGTACAAATAGAATGTTTAACTTCAAAAAAAAAAACCACACAAAACCTTTGGCAAGTAAAATATACAGCGTAAAGAATTATAGATATGAAGCAAAACTAAACAGATTAAATTTTTATTTCCAAGAGAGATTCTTGGATTAAATAATAAAATAAAATTTGATGATAAATCACTTCTGAGAATTACATTTAATATGAAAGGCTAAGGAGTTGAAAATAGATGAAATATGACATTGCAGGCAAATATGAACCAACAGAAAATCAGGGTAGCAGTGCAAAAATATCATTGGAAGATAAAAGACATTACATGGGACAAAGAGACATTCATTCTATACTGGTAACTAAAAACTCTAGAGCAACGTAACCTAAGATAAACATACATGAGCCTAACAATGTACCATCAAAACAAATAAGGAAGGATGAAATCAAAAGAAGAGAGATGATGCATATTATAATGCCTAACTTGATTATGATTTATACAGAGTAAGAAGATAAAGGAATGATCTAAGATAGAGGTTCAAACCTTATATCTTTAATGACAAGTATTATATCTTAAATAATAAGACCAAGCTAATAAGAACAAAGGGAACACACTCCCATGGTTTGGGAGGGTTCATGTAACACAACAGGACCAGAAACTGAATTGCAGAAATACTAAAAAGAATGGTAAATATCTTTAGATATGATCTATATTTTTAGAAAACCCAAGTTATTTTCTTAAAACTGTTACTATTAAATTCTGTTTTCTATTAAGTAGAGAATTTATGTAGATGGTTGGATACAAGCTAAGCATGAAATGAGTTGTCTTTCTCTATGCCTAAAGTCTTAATTGAACGTAAATCTATAGAGAGGCATACACAATGCTCTTTGATGGGAGAAAAACATCACAAATGCCAATTCTTCTCAGTAAAATAAAAATGTAATTCAGTTCCAACCAGAATTGCAATTTTAAGGTTTACATGGCAGAATAAATATGCAAAAGTAGTGAAAATTTTTATAAAAACACATCAATAAAAGGGTTTACCTTAGCATAGAGCAATATTACATGAAAGTATTAGTCAGGGGTGACATGCTGAGCAGCCACACAATGACCAAAACTCTGCTCAGAAGCAAATCCTGGGATCTTGCGGACTTTAATATATAGCACAGTTGACATTTTAGTTAATGGGAAAAGGATGGTTTATGTGATAACTATATTTAAATAAGTCCATCTCAGAAGAAAACAGAATGAGACCCTTTACATATATACATACATATATATATGTATTTCAAATTTAAAAGACCTAAAGAATGAAATTTAAAAACACTTATGGGAAAAATGTTTCAGTAACTTTGTATTCCATGAGACTTTCTACAGCAAGAGAGGAACCCAGCAAAGGACAAGATGAAAGTTAAAATAAGACACCGCTTTTCACCCTTAGAGTAGAAAAGCAAGGTAAGGCAATAGCAATAA